GCCTCCGTAAGACACACCCCTACATAGGTAAGGGTCCGCCTCTGTAAGACACACCCCTACATAGGTAAGGGTCCGCCTCCGTAAGACACACCCCTGCATAGGTAAGGGTCCGCCTCCGTAAGACACACCCCTACATAGATAAGGGTCCGCCTCTGTAAGACACACCCCTACATAGGTAAGGGTCCGCCTCCGTAAGACATACCCCTACATAGGTAAGGGTCCGCCTCCGTAAGACATACCCCTACATAGATAAGAGTCTGCCTCCGTAAGACACACCCCTACATAGATAAGGGTCCGCCTCTGTAAGGGTCCGCCTCTGTAAGACACACCCCTACATAGATAAGGGTCCGCCTCCGTAAGACACACCCCTACATAGGTAAGGGTCCGCCTCCGTAAGACACACCCCTACATAGATAAGGGTCTGCCTCCGTAAGACACACCCCTACATAGATAAGAGTCTGCCTCCATAAGACACACCCCTACATAGATAAGCGTCTGCCTCCATAAGACATACCCCTACATAGATAAGGGTCCGCCTCTGTAAGGGTCCGCCTCTGTAAGACACACCCCTACATAGATAAGGGTCCGCCTCTGTAAGGGTCCGCCTCTGTAAGACACACCCCTACATAGGTAAGGGTCCGCCTCTGTAAGGGTCTGCCTCTGTAAGACACGCCCCTACATAGGTAAGGGTCCGCCTCTGTAAGACACACCCCTACATAGATAAGGGTCCTCAGTTCAGGGCCAAAGGTGCCGTGGCTCTACAGAATCACAGGTCCTCTGTGTTAAAGTATGTTAGTATGTTATATAAACAGAGTATCATAGCTCATTATTTCCTCTCAGTTCTGAACCTTGGAAGTCCAGGATGATGATCTCCACATGGCCAGGTTCTGGTGAGGAATCTTCTTGGGTTTCAGAGAACTGGCCTCTTGATTGACACATGATGGAGACAGCTCTCTATTGTCTCCGACAAGAACACCAATGTTATTAGGTCTTACGACCTCATTTAAAGTTTACCTCACCAGGGTCCCTGTCACCAAATGCAATCACCTTGAGGGTTAGGGCTTCAACGTCCACATTTTTGGGTGGCGTGATTTGGTCTATACCATAACATCAGCTTCCTGTCTCCAAAATTAGAAAAATAAAAATCAAAGGCCTTTGAACTCATTGACATCAGTGGGCTGAAGGCTGTCACTTAGGGAAGGAACTGGTTTATCATAAGGATCATAACTAGGCAGACACATTCAGCTTTAGCATGGACAAGGGCCTGGTATATATTGACCATGGTCCCAAGAATAGCCCGATCCACTGCTTAGAGAGACTGTAGCCTATCTGAGTACACTGTCTTGACCCATATCTTGTGTTTCTTGAAAATAGATTTGTGACTGACTGAATTTATCGTTCAAGTTCTTAGTACATTGTTGAGCAGCCTGCACACCTACATGGTTGGAGTCTTTCTAGGATTCTCTTTCTAGGGTTAGTTGCCCTATATTTGTTTCCTGTGGAACTACCAGGGTCTAGCTTAGCTGGACTGACATGGCCTTGCCAGTCTTGAGGAGATCTACCCACATTAGTAGTAAGCTCCGCTCTGGTTGGAAGACAGGTTACCCATTGTCGTTTGCATGCTATTTATTCATTTATCTTTACTCCTTCAGGGACCTTTGGGCAGACTCACCCCTGGGATGTTTTCACCCCTGCCTCCTGGAGTCACCCAAGAGTCCCCTTTGAGGTTCTGACAGACCCTCAGAGCATGCCCACCCACCTAGTACCGGAAACAGATGTTGCTGCTGGGTGCTCGGGAGGACGGCAGGAGCAGGACAGTGTGATGGAGAAGGTACTGTTTGAGGTTGATGCCTGAACCAACCATTTGTGTTTCCTTCACAGGTTCTCTGCTGAACAGCGGGGGTGCACACACAGGCTAAGAGAGTCAAAGCATAGATCTGGTGAACCAAGGCAGCAGGGAAGGAGAGCATGTCTCCCCCATCCTGGGCAATGGCACTGATATGGACCGGGGGACAGGCGATCCATCTGTGGGATGAAGGAGAGGATCTCCCAGCCCTTTCCTCCTTTTGCCTATAAAAAGCTGTCCCTGGCCTTGGAGCACAGGAGACAAGGCAGCATGCTCAACCTAGTGTCACATCTGAGAAGGGCAGACCCTGCACATCCAGCCCATGCTTTATTCTGCATGCATTTCAAAGCAGGGACTCCTAATCACCGAGAGGAAGCTGTGCTCAGCTTAATGCTCAACTCTATGAGCGTTAACATTGGAGCAAGAGATTTGGAGAGGGCCCTGGTCGATGCAGCCTTGATTTAGAGCTCCCATGAAGTATGTGGCTTTCCAAGAAATGCTTGCCCTTTTATAAATTGAAAAGAAGGTCATTTCGTGAGCTATGACTTGCCAGCTACATCACAACTCAAAGCAGGACACCTGCTCTGCCAGCAGAATCGCGCCTCGGCAGCCTCACAGAATAGATTCCCCAGTATAACCCAGCCACTGACTCCCGCTTAGAGCCCCAGAGGTGTTCAAAATAGAAACAAAGGATCCAGGCCAGCACACACAAGGAACAGCCTCTGCCTCACCTGGAGCACCTTTCCGGATCTTGTTTTCAAGGCTACCAAGGGATACCACAGCAGCAGTCTGGGGAGACTTAGAACGTGGCTGGCACTGTTGGCTGATTTAGAAATAGTTATTTCAGCTAGCATTCAATATGGAGAATGCTAATGTGTTCATTAATTCTGATAGGCCAGCGATTCAGAAAACAAAAGCTCAGGTGGAAGTGGGAAAAGAGAAAGGAGAAACAGAGGGGAAAAAAAAAAAAGACAAAGCCCCAGCCAGTTCTTGTGTTGGGAGGCAGAACTAGGGAGAAATCAAACTTCAGGTTCAAGGGCAGGGGTGGGGGATGGGTGTGGGGGATAGGGGTGGGGTGGGGTCCTGGAGGACAGAGAAGGAGAAAGGTGGAGGCAGGAAGAGGGATGGAGGAAGGAGGCCGAAGGACGCTCAGTGAGACAGAATAATTCATAGTGCGCTCACTCTCCAAGGGTGAACCACGTCTTCCTGAGTGCTCTTGATCTTGTATAAGAAAACATGGCTCTGATCGGTCTGACTACAGTAGGTACCTTTAAAACCAGTCAAAAGTTTATATTACTTACTTTTCTACCGCTGTGATAAAAACACATGACCAAGGCATATTACAGACCGATGGGATGTTTTGGCTTATGGTTCTGGAGGGAGAAGGGTCCATCATGCCAGGGAGACAAGGCAATAAGTGGCGTGACAGTGGGAGCAGAAGCTGAACGCTCACATCCTAAAGACAGACACTGAGAGGGCAGTGGTGCAAGGCTCTGCAAGCCCCAAGCCGAGGAGAGAGTCCGCCAGAAATGGCGCCAGTCTGGAAACGCTCAGTGACACCCTTCCTTCAACAAGGCCGCAGCCCCTGAGCCTCCCAAACAGCACACCAGTGGTGGGACTGTCCTAGCTAATTTTATATCAGCTTGAACTTGACACAAGCTAAAGTCATCTGAAAGGAGGGGCCCTTGGTTAAGAAGATGCCATAGGCCATTTATTTAGTGATTGACTGGGGAGGACCCAGCCCATTGTGGGTGGTGCCATCCTTGGGTTGGTGGTCCTGGGATCTGTAAGAAAACAGGCTGAGCAAGGCATGAGGAGCAAGCCAGTAAGCAGCACCCCTCCCTGGTCTCTGCATCAGCTTCTGCCTCCAGATTCCTGCTCTGTTTGATTTCCTGTTGTGACTTCCTTTGATGATGAACAGCAATGTGGAAGTGTAAGTCAAATAAACCCTTTCCTCCCCAACTTGGCTTTTGATCATGGTGTTTCATCACAGCAATAGAAATCCTAACTAAGACAAGTTGGTACCAGGAGTGCTCTTGATCTTGTATAAGAAAACATGGCTCTGATCGGTCTGACTACAGTAGGTACCTTCAAAACCAGTCAAAAGTTTATATTACTTACTTTTCTACCGCTGTGATAAAAACACATGACAGTGGGGTATTTCTGTGACAGACCATGTTTTGGGGAGGATTATGGAAGGACTTTGGAACTTTGGGCTATAAAATCCATTGAGTGTTGAGCTTGGAAGATAAGAATGTTGAGAGCAGTGAAGACAATGGAGGCCTGGCTTGTGAAGTTCCAGAGGGAAGTTTAAAGACTCTGTCAGGGCCATTTGCTATTTTGAGTTGAGGATCTGTGGTTCTGGTTATCTGGGGAGGAAGAATCAGCTGTGATTAACAAGAGACCAGAACTGTTAGGATTCTGCTGCCATTCCAGCTGTATGATCGCACATGTGCAGTTCAGGAGCTAAGCAAGGGGTCTTGCATCTTAAATCATCAGTGCAAGCTGCATGATTACGCATGTGAGGCATGGTCACGCAATTTGCGCATGTGTGATGTATAGCTCCGTAAGCCCACCTGTGCCTTAGAAAGCTGGACACTGACTCTTCCTCTTCCTCTCCCTCTCTCTGTTCTCTCCTGCCCCCACTGCCCCCCCTCTCTCTCTGCTCTCTGCATGTGTTCCTTTCCCAGGCCTGGTCCTTTTGGCCACACCCCCCCCAATAAAGTTCTGATACTGGCTTTTGTAGTCACTTGTGCCTCATGACCTTTCCGCATGGTAACCAGCACCACTTATCATTTTTAACATTGGTGCCATGACCCACTCCCTGGTGATTACGTGCATGCGAGCCGTATGGTCATGAAATCAGCGCACGCATGGCGTAGCTCCAAAAGCCCACTTGCCCATGTTCACAGGATGTAGATGTAACCAACTGTCTTATTAAATAAGAAACATAGAACCAATATAAAGAAGAAAGCCAAGAGGTCAGAGCTCAGAGCTAAAACCTTACCCTTCCTCCTGCGGTGGTCCTACCTCTCCGAAAGAGACCTACTTCCTGTGTGTTTGTCTTTAGATAGTCTTTCTGTTCTGCCTTCTCATTGGTTGTAAACCCAAACACGTGACTGCCTTGTCACTGCCTGTAAGTACAGCCCTCCAGGTCTTAAAGGCATGTGTCTCCAATGCTGGCTGTATCCATGAACACACAAAGAGACTTACCTAGCTCTGCCTACCAAATGCTGGGATTAAAGGTGTGCGCCACCACCGCCACGCTCTTGCTATGGCTCTAATAGCTCTGACCCACGGGCAACTTTATTTATTAACATACAATTAAAATCACATTTCAGTACAAATAAAATATCACCATAATAGGAATCCTTTAAAAAGCTGGACACAGACTCCTCCCTTCCTCTCTGTTCTCTTCCTCCCACTACCTCTTCTCTGTTCTCTCTCTCTGCTCTCTGCATATGCTTTTTCCCCAGGTCCTTTGTCTGCCCCCTTCTCCTAATAAAGCTCATGACTCATGACCTTTCCAACTCAGTAACCAGAACCACTTATCATTTTTTTGGTTTTTTTTTTTTTTCAAGACAGGGTTTCTCTGTGTAGCTTTGTGCCTTTCCAGGATCTCGCTTTGGAGACCAGGCTGGCCTTGAACTCACAGAGATCCACCTGCCTCTGCCTCCTGAGTGCTGGGATTAAAGGCGTTCGCCACCACTACCCAGCCCGCTTATCTTTTTTATTTTATTTTATTTTATTTTATTTTATTTTATTTTATTTTATGTGCATTAGTGTTTTGCCATCGGTGTCCAGTCCCCTGGAACCTCAGTTACAGACAGTTGTGAGCTGCCATGTGGGTGCTGGGAATTGGACCCAGGTCCTCTGGGAGAGCAGTCAGTGCTCTTAACCACTGAGCCATCTCTCCAGCCCCCGCTTATCATTTTTGACAAGAACCACTAAAGCAAAACCTTTCCTTTGCTGGGACAATGGATGCTGGTCAGCCAGGGCTGAGGAATCAGCAGTGATTAAGAAGAGGCCAGCGTCATTGAGGTGAGATCTTCTGGGAAGCATTTCCTCACGGTCAGCACACGCCAACTGTGTTTCAGAAGTGGCCAACTTTGTACCTCATGCTGGCCATTGAACTTTGTAGTGTGAGAGTCACCCAGGTGGTTCTGGTTTTAAAGGCATGAAGGGGTCACGGAGAGCAACCTGAGCTTGGCACTGTGTGGCAGGGCTGGCGTCCCTGAAGAGAGCCCAGGAGGAGCTATTGGTAAAAGTGCAGCCCAGTTTCAGCGAGGGGCCCAGCAATTTTGGAGATGCTGGTACGATGGGATGGCCTCCCAGAACAGCAGCAGGTGTGGAGTGGAGTTGGCCTGAGCCTAGACAACAAGTTGTGTGTGCTGGAGAGAGCTGAGCCAAAGAAGTGACCAAAGCTCCCTGGAGGAGGCTGGAAGAGCTGAGCGAAGCCCAGACATTGGACACTGAGTTGTTTGTACTGTTGGAGTTGGGTTTTGCTTGTGTTTGATTGTGACGGGTTCTTCCCTCTTGAAGTAAGAAAATAATTTATTTTTAAGTTTACAGGAGCCCACAGTTGGGAGACAGAATTTTAAAAGCGATTTTAGGTTTTAAAAGAGACTTGGGATTTTTTTTTTTTTAAGGAGACTGAATTTTAAAGTGTTTGACTCTGTAAAGACTGTGTAACTTTTAAAGATGTTTATATGTGTGACGTTGATGTCAATGTGTGACGCTGAGGATGAACAAGGAAGGAAAGACGATGGATTAACAGTGGTGTGTTTGTGTGTCAAGGTGACAAGGGCCTGCCTTAGCTCGGGCATGGATTGCTGTAAAGAGACACCATGACTCTTACGAAGGGAAAACACTGAATTGGGGTGGCTTACATTTGCAGAGGTCTAGTCCATTATCATCATGGTGGCTGACAGCATGGAGGCTGAGAGTCCTACTATTGTAGGCAACAGGAAGTGGTCTGAGACACTGAGTGTGTGTTGAGCACAGGAAACCTCAAAGCCCGCCCCCACAGTGACACACTTCCTCCAGCAAGGCCACACCTCCTAACAATGTTACTCCCTATGAGCTTTTGGGGGCCAATTACATTCAAACTACCACCAGGTCAACTGTCCTGGCTAGTTTTAGGTCAACTTGACACAAGCTAGAGTCAGTCATCTGAAAGGAGGGAGCCTCCACTGAGAAAATGCCTTCATAAGATCTGGCTGGAGGCAATCCTGTTGGGCATTTTCTTAATTAGTGATCAATGGGGGAGGGCCCCGCCCATTGTGGGTGGTTCTATCCCCTGGCTGGTGGTCCTGGGTTCTACAAATTAGCAGGCTGAGCAAGCCATGAGGAGCAAGCCAGTAACCAGCACCCCTCCAGGGCCTCTGCCTCAGCTCCTGCCTCCAGGTTCCTGCCCTGTTTGAGTTCCTGTCCTGACTTCCTTCAGTGATGAACAGCAATGCTGAAGTGTAAGCCAAATAAACCCTTCCCTCCCTGACTTGCTTGGTCATGGTGTTTTGTCACAGCAATAGAAACTATAAATGAGGCAGGGACCAAGTATTCAAATGCCCAAGACTAGGGGACTTCTCATTCAAAAACACCACAAAGCTACTTCTTAGATAAAAAGGACAAAAAACAACCCCTTGGGCCCGTATACAGTGTGTTTGGACCAGGAATCCAAAGGGTAAAATTGCAGAATAAGGTGTTTCATGGCTGTTCCTGAGAGAGGGATCCCTGGCTTCCGCTCTCAAGTTAATTCATTAGTCATGTGATCTCCAGCAGTCCCTTCTGCTGGGCTATGAAATGGAGGGTGGGTTTAGAGGATCTAGAAGTTTCTTTCCAGCCTTAAAAAGTGTGTGCTTGTCCAAATCCCTGTTCAAGAAAAACCTAGTGGATTCCTTGGACTCTGAATGTTGGTGTTGCCTCTTCCAAGCCGCCAAGAGATAGCAGACAGCCATCCATAGTCAAAGTAAACTGACTAGGTGTCCCGTGAGAGCTCACGGGACGATGCTTCAGGCTAGCTGGTGCTGAGACACAGCAGCACTAAAGCTCCAGGGGACGCTCTCTTGTCCTCTGGCCAGGTCAGCCAGCCTGAGCCTTGTTCTCACACAGAAAAGCCATGTGCCCCACAGGTGGCACTTGGTCCCAGTGACCAGAGGGGTCACAGTTCCTGCCCTTGCATCTCTGTCTTCTTCCTCCAGACTGAAAAGACGCCTCCCCTCCCCTCCCTGGAAGGTCCCGTTGTTGAAGCGGAGGTGAGCGAAGATAAAAGCCGATGGTCTGCGTTTTGCCGCGGCAGGTCAGTCTGGAAAGGATGCAGCCACAGCCGTTCTTGGCTGAGGCCTGTATTCTACATGCGTTCCTTGTCCCTCAGCTCCCCCAGGCTGTGAGTATAACTGAGGTCACTCCCCAAGTGTCACCCACTGTGTCTTATCTATGTGATTTAACGCCCCCAATGTTTTACCTGGCTACCACCCACGACCAAGGCCGGTACATCCGTCTTTGCCGTCAGCTCTGTAGCTGGTGTTACTGGCCTCAGCAGCACAAGAGGCAGTGTGGCCTCACCGACTCTCACACAGGTGCCCTATGTAGCCCTTTTGGCTTCCTGAGGACATGGAGTGAGGAGGAAGACCCCAGGGCTCCCGAAGTTGCAAATCCCAGGCTACCTCAAAGCCCTGTATGTACCCCAGGTCCCTGTGCACTGGGACATGGCAGGTTCTAGAGAAGCAGAGTGAATGAATATTCCTCTCCAGATCCCTGAGATGTTCTTCTCTAAGTCCTGGTCACCAGCAGACCCAAGGAAACAGTTCCTCCAGTGTCCTCTGATGCCTCTCCCACCGTAGACTCTAGGTTTAGAGCCTGGGTGAGGGACAGCCCCATCCTCACCATGGGTCATGCTCATCACGAGCTCAAGCTCCTTCCCTGTGGAGCTGTTTCCACCTCCACAGTGGGCTAACAGGAAAGACAGCTACAGGGACCCTGGCCTTCCCCCCACACCCCAAAAGTGCAAACAGAGGCATAGGGAGTGGGCGCCCAGGGCATCCACTTTCCAGCTGGATCAGCATCCTTTATGAAACATTATGGGAGTTTCTACTTACTTCTGTTCACACCCTTAAGGGGCAGCCCTTAGTCACACGGCCACAGCTGGTCACACCAGAGGCCACGACTAAGGAAGAAGCCAAGTGTGAGAAAGGGTTGTTGTTAGACAACTAGCAAGTTCTGTCCTAGATGCTAAAAATGTAAAATGGCCGGGCCTTTAATCCCAGTGCTCGGGAGGCAGAGGCCAGCGGATCTCTGTGAGTTCGAGGCCAGCCTGGGCTACAGAGTGAGTTCCAGGAAAAGCACCAAAACTACACAGAGAAATCCTGTCTCAAAAAAACCAATAAATAAATAAATAAATAAATAAATAAATAAATAAATAAATAATAAATAAATAAATAAGTAAATAAATAAATGTAAAATGCTTTGAATGCTGTCAGGATTAGAGGGTCTTGCACACGGAAGCTCCACCCACCATGTGCATTATGCCAGAATGTGTCTGGAAGCCACGAACCCAAAGTTGGACTGGGTCAAATAGCTAGCCTGTGGGAAAACAACATAGATTTGGGTTGTGGTTAATTGGACTGCAGATCGTTTCAACTTCCTGTTTATATACTTGGCAATCTCCCAAGAAAGTATGGTGTAGGAGGAGTTTTCCTGTCCCAACTGCCTGTTCCCAAATAACCAGCAGCCACTTCCCAAATAACTAACTTGGAGACTTAATATAAATTATAAATGTTTGGCCAAGAGCTCAGGCTTGTTATTACCTGACTCTTACATTTAAATTAATCCATATTTCCTACCTATGCTTTGCTATGTGGCTCATGGCTCGTTACCTCATTTTCTACATGTCCTGCTTCCTCTGCAGCTGGCTGGCATCTCCTCTGACTCCAAGTTTCTTCTTCCCATCATTCTCCTAGTTAGGTTGTCCTGCCTATAATTCCTGCCTGACTACCAGCCAATCAGCTTTTTATTAAACCAATCTGAGTGACAAATCTTCACAGTGTACAAAAGGATTATTCCACAGCATTATGGGGTACACCGACCAAGATGTCAGATGTGATGGTGTGTTGGAGTTGGAGACTGGAAGTGGGAAACTCCTTCCCTCACTACTGACACCATTAGCATCTCCATCCTTGGCAGATGGAGTTAGCAGGGAGGCCGGCAGCTGCAGGGTGATCTCTTTACACATCTACAGGCACTCTTTTGCCTCCAGGTGCCTCTCTCCTCAAAGACACCGATGTGGGAGATGAGGTGGGAAAAGGTTCCAAACGTCACTAAGAGCAAGTACAGCAAGGGGCCACAATGGTAGGTGATGTTTGACTCTCTTGGGTCCACAGAGTGGCAGCCCAGAATGGCAAAGGGGAGTTAGCTCTAAATTCAGAATTGGATTTGATTCTCCGTGTTTGCTTATGGCAAGGATAAATGAGCAGAAAGTAAAGTTGAGAGGTAAATGGTGGGGGGAAAGAGGAGGCACTGGGTCTGTTGGGTGGGTCTTACGCCATCAACACTGGTGGTGGCTGAGCAAATTTTAAAGTGTATGCCCTTTAAGGCAGGAAATATTAGAAATGATACACACATTCTATCCATACTTTACTTCAATTGGCAACATGAAGATCGTACACTCATTCACCAGTCTTTGGATGTCCAATACATCATAAGTAAATTTCCATTTCTGCTTTTACAAAAGCAAGCCTGGAAGATGAGCACATTTGCAAAGCATGGAAGTGCAGTGTCCTTCCCAGTGTCTAGGATTTCCCCAAACTCTAACAGTTGTTTATCCTTGATTCTCCATCATCTGCCAGCTACTCATGTCAAAGGCCTGTCTTCAGCCTTCACAAAGTCTTGTTTTTCTCCTTATTTCCCATTCATACAATTTTCACTTTGTTCAGATAAATTTATAATCCTGACCAAGTGTGCAAGAGGCACAGGCAGGTTTGAAAACAGACAGCCGAGTCTGGGTAAGCACGTGGCTCTCCCCATTCGGGCAGAAGGTTACTGTTGCTGTCTATGACTTGAGAGCATTCACAGGGCTGTGCGCATTTATTTGCAGGGTGGGTAGTGGTGGAGTCGCTCAGACCACCAGTTCCTTTCAGAAAGCATCTACTACAGGGATCCTCCATGCAACAGATTCCCTGGAAGTCCAGTCCAGTTTTCCATGGGTAGCTTGGCTATACATAGAAAGCCAGAAAGGTCACAGGTCGGGGGAGGGAGGACTTCATGGACAGCTCATAGGACACGGTGCTCTTCTTTCCACTGTCTTAATGAGGCCCACGTGTGAAAGATCTCCCACCCGAGGCCATCTGAGACATTACATTCAATAGGACTTGTAGATGGATTTTTCTTTAGGCCGCTAGTTCACAAAAAAACAACACAGAGACTTATTAATTATGAAAGCTCAGCCAATTGCTTGGGCTTGTTTTTAACTAGCTGCTATAACATAACCCATATCTTTTTAATCAGCATTCTTTTATGTGGCTTGGTTACCTTTGCTTTGTAAAGCCCATGCTCCTTGCTCTGCATCCCTGGCATCTCCTACAGACCATGCTTCCTCTGAGTCCGGCTCTAGACTCCTGGCATCTCTGCCCTTCTCCCCAGCATTCCCTCTGCCCTGAAAATCCTCCCTAGCTAGTGGCCATTTAGCTTTTTATTAAACCAATCACAGTGACAGATAGTCACACAGTGTCAAGGAATATTCCACAACAAGGACTTTGTTCATTCCTCATTATATCCCTGGAGAACACCCCATTGGTGATCTCCACAGAGGAGGCAACTGAGGCTTTGGGAGACTGCGCTGCTCACCTGAAGTTAAATCACTAGTAGGTGGCCAGGCACAGGTATGGCCTCACTGCTCTTTAGCTTTCCTGCCGCTGTCCCCTGAGAACAAGCCTTGGGCTTTTGTGTGAACATACAAAGAAAAGACAGAGACGGCACCTGCTCTAAACACGGGGATGCCTTGGGCAAGTGGCAGATGACTGTGAACCAAGCTTCCATAGCCTGCAGAACACAGCCCCCAAGGTTGGCGCTCGGGCAACTCGTTGATACGCCTGTTGCCTAGGGTCCTTTTAAAGTTGAAACAGACTATAGGGCAGGGACTATAGGACAGGCTGGAGAACAAGGGACCAAGATGGCAGCAGAACTCAGAGACAAACCATGTTGCAGGAGGCAAGTTAGTACCCCTCATTTCTCTGAACATTCAGATTTTTGTTTGTTTATTTGTTTGTTTTGAAAATCATTCTGAGTGCCTTTGGGGGAAGCCTATTAGACATTTACTTCACAGTGTTTGTTGGGCACTGCTCTGTGCCTACGCTGTACTGTAATTCCACACGGGGACACATCCACAAACAGAGAGGACTCCATCCTGAAGAGGGAAAGACAGGTCTCCAGCCTCCATCACTTCATTGCTTGGCTCTTGCATGATGGGAGGTATAGTTGTTTGTTTTTGCTCTTTTGGAGGTCCGGTTACCCAGCTTCCAAAGAAATCACACATGGAGGCTTATTCTTAATTATAAATGCTTGGCCTTAGCTTGGCTTGTTGCTAGCCAGCTTTCCTTAACTTAACCTGTCTCTTTTGCCTCTAGGCTTTTCCTGTTCTCTTACTTCTGTAAATCTTACTCTTACTCCGTGGCTTGCTGTGTAGCTGGGTGGCTGGCCCCTGGAGTCCTTCTCCTTCTCTGGCTACTTCTTCTCCTCCCAGATTTCTCCTTCTTTTCTTTTTGCCTGCCAGCCCCACCTATCCTTTCTCCTGCCTCACTATTGGCCATTCAGTTCTTTATTAGACCATCAGGTGTGTGGGTCTGACTGACAAGTAAGGCAGAGGCAGGACCGGGCCAGCTGATCTTTCCCTGGGGCTAAGTGGGATGGTGAGTGTCAATGGCGCAGACCCCCCCTCCCCATTCCACCAAAGAGAAGCACACTGGACTGGGAGTCTTGTCAAAGCAGGAACTTGCTTTATTGCATCACAAGTGGACTTATATAGGTTGGGAGGATGGGGGGATGGGGTGAGGATAGTGGGCCAATGAGATGATGCCATCTCAGCAGTTACTAGGCAGAGGCGATTCTGGGTCAGGTAGTGCTGAGTCTCTCGTATGTGGAAGTCATGTCTGAGGACAGGTCGCCAAACTCGAGCTAGGCTCGGGAAGTTACACTGGGCCTCACACCCAGGCCTTATGGGGCCCAACAAGGTGTTTTAGACAGGTAAAGTAACAGCTTCACAGAGTTAAACAAATGCAATAAACAAAAGTAACACACCTTAGAATAATATTCCCCAACAGGAGGAGCATGGAGCACTGTGGGAACACTGGTACAGGGGGTGTTGGGGGAGAAGGTGTTTGGAGAGAGGGAATTCATGCTGATATCGGAAAGATATTAGTGTCAATACCAGGATGTGGCCACTTTAAAGGGGTTTAAAAGGAGACAGAGGTGTTACCACATGGATGAACCTAAGGATATTGTGCTAAAGGAAACAAACCAGTCACAAAATGACAAATACTGCCTGATTCCAAGGCGCAAGTTACCCAGAACAATCAGACTCATCAGAATCGAAGCAGAATGGCTGCTGTTAGAGGAGACAAGAATGAAGAGATGTTGTTTAATGTCCATGTGTTCAGTGTTGTATGGTGGAAGAGTCTGGGAACTGAACATGGTGGAATGTGGGTATAGTCCTGGCACTTGGGAGGGCAGGAAAATTAGGAGTTCCAGGTCACCCTCAGCTATATAGGGAGTTTAAAAGGCCAGAGACCAGCCTTAGGCTCTATGGGACCCTGTCTAAGAAAACTAAAAAAGAAGGTATGTTCTGGAAATGAATGGTGATGGTGGTCGTCCAGCAGTGTGAGGGTACTAAATATGTATTTGGTTCAGGTGGTCAACTTATACGACGTATTTTATACCACAATTAAAAATAAAGAAGTGAGGGGACTGGAAAGATGACTCTTGTTAAAAGCACTTGTTGCTCTTCCAGAGGCCCCGGGTTCAGTTCCCAGCACCCACACAGCAGTTCACAACCATCTGTAACTCCAATTCCGGGGATATGATGCCCTCTTCTGGTCTCCACAGGCACCGCACATACACAGCACACAGACACACATGCAGGCAAAACACCCATACACATAAAACAAAAATATTTTTCAAAGAAATAAAAAGAGAAGAGGTAAGAATATGAAAGGGCAAAGCCCTAAAGGAAGAGAGAAGAGGGGCAAGTTCTGGACCTGAGTTGTTCGATGTAATTGAAATGGTGTTGGGGTGGGGAAGCAATTGGAACAAGAAAAGAATTGTAACAGGTGGGAGCAGTTGGCTTTCCAAGGTCCCTAGAAAAGACCAGAAAGAAAGAGTTGGTGACGTACAGCCAAGGGGAAGGGATCACACAGACACGTGCATTTGGAAGGCATGCTGGGCTGCTCAGTTGGGGGCTCTTGTAGCTGCCAGTCTCCAGACACGCCCAAAATCCTCACACTTACTCTCTTCCCCCAGACTGCTGCCGGCAAGAAGGCGGCCTCACTGGAAGATGCCCGAGCTCAAATGGCCCAGCATTTACCAGGGCCTCCAGTGCCACGAGGTCGCCTGTGTGTCTGCTCCTGGGGAGAAGCCAGATCTGTCCATCATTGGTGCGGACGCGTTCACCATCGGTTTCCACAGCCAGGAAAGAGAAGCGGAGCTGCTGGGAAGGAAGGAACGCTCACCCTGGAGCAGTTTCTTGCCCAAGTGCTAAGGGCCTCTGCTTCCTTGCTTGGCTAGTTCTTTCCTGTATAATGGAAAGGTCTAACTGAGATTGAGCTTTGCCCGTGGGAGCAAAGGAGAACAAAAAGAAAAAATGATCTCAGCCCAGGTGGGCTCATCCTGCAGCAATTAGAACTGAAATTTCAGAGGACAAGTCGGATTCACAGTGTTCATTCTGGAGAGTCAGTGTTTCACTGTGTGGGGGAAATCCAGAGCAGGTGGCCCCTAAATAGCTCCTCTACATACCACCTACCACTTAGGGCATCTGCCCCTGGGGAGGCTGCTGAGAAACACAGATGACATTTTGCTAGTGTGTTTTTTTTTTGCCAGGGAGGCCTGCTTTCAGACAGATGTGGTCTCCCATCAATTCCTAACAATACCCTCGGTGTAGACACTGTTAGCAGCCATCTTACCAACGAGGAAATGCAGACTTCCAGAAGTCAACTGCTGTAAGAGATAGAGATTTATCAAGAGGGGCCTGGCTTTTCCTCTCCCCCAATACTCAGGAAAGGCTAGGTGTGGCTCCTAGGAGCTGGGGCAGAGGTGGGGATCAGTCCCTCTGTGGCCAGTACAGGTGCCAGGTCAAAGGTGCTGGTGGCCGTTCTGTACCCTTCTAACCCCGACCACACCTGGGCTGCCAGTGAAAGAGATCTACAGACCGAATGATGTTCGGGTATTGAGATAGATCACTGGGTTTTTCTGGTTTCCTTATAAGAGACACATGGGATAGAGGAGGAAGAGAAGGAGGAGAGGGGGAAGGCAGGGTGGCCCCCAGAGCCTGGGAAAGGCGGACAGGACTCACTGAGATACCCCCAGAGCACATTCTGCCCACACCTTGGTTCACAATAAACGTGAGTTTGAAGGCCTCCTATGGTTACCGTGTCCCAGTGGCGGGCCCAGAAAGCTCACACAGACCCCATGCTTTCTAGAAGGCGGCAGAGCCCCCTGAGGCCCGTGGAGCCCACGGAGCCCTGCCAGCGCTCAACTGCTGTTTCATTTCCTAACACAGTTCACATTTCATGCGTGTGTCAGGCTCCTGGTACACTCTGGGGACACAAACGGAACTAGGAACCCTAGGGTTTCTCTGTGTAGTTTGGTGCCTGTCCTGGATCTCACTTTGTAGACCAGGCTGGCCTCGAACTCAGAGATGCACCTGCCTCTGCCTCCTGAGTGCTGGGATTAAAGGTGTGCGCCACCACCGCCCAGATTGGGCCAGCAATTCTTACTTCCAAGTTTCACAGACTGAAAGACAGGTTTTCCCGGAAACGCCTTGTTGGTGGCATTTTCAATTACAAGCTGACTCTCTCAAGTGTACACCCACGAGAAGCTCTGCCTTACTGCTTTCACAGTAACAGACTGGGGTTCTACTAAACACACAGCAGCAGTTGTGGTTCACCACCAATCAGGAAGCAAGGCATGCTCCCGGTGCATGGCACTTTCAGACAGCAGCAAAGGGGGCCATGCTTGTGTGTCCTGGGTGCCGGGGTACTGGCGACTCAGGGACAGTTCACCAACTGTCACCAAACCCTCAGTGGATGCTCACTGTGCAAGACCCTAAGACACTGCTCTCATTGCTTGAATAATCTTCAACCACCACTGTGGAGGCAGGAGCTCCTTCTACAGAGGGAACTAAGTAGCTGAGGGTGACGCCAAGGTCGTGTGGCCCTTGGAAAACCACCAGGATCTAAAGGAAGGGGACGAGCTATCGAGCATTTGGCAATCTTGTCCAGACCTTCTTCCCTCCCCTCATCTGGGCCCATCTCTGTCCTTGGAGTTCATATGCTGGAGATGCTGCCCTCAGGAGTTGGTAGGTAACTTAGGGGACCATGCTCATCTCTGCTTAGAACAGAGCAGGACTGGTAGCTCCCAGTCTCTCTGGCTCCCTCACACAGCAATTCTCTCTCGAGCACTCCATCCTTGAGGGCATGCACTGTTCTGTGATGCACTGTTCCAGGGCTAGTGCTGTGCCAATTGTATTTCAGCTTCTCAAATGGATCTAACTATCTTTTTATAATGTGCCCACCCCAGACTACCAAAATATCAACCAATACAACAGGAAATCTCCAGGGTGATTGGTGTCTGTGCACATTAGGTATAAGCTTCCCAATGCCCAAACTGAAGTTTTCAGACACAAAAACAAAAACACAGCCTTGGGTTTGAGCGACATCTCCAGCTGTGGCACGTTGGCTAAGGAGAATTTGGAGAGCCTTGCCAGCAGGCATGCCTTTGAAGATGATACTGACCAAATCTGCTTTTTCTGGGCTTCCTGGCTGACAGGAAGTGAAGAATTTTCCTCTGCCACTTGCTGACAACCAGTTTCCTATGCTAGGAAGCCATGCTGCTCTATGTAGCAAAACCTTGCAGGCCAACAGAACTACTGCAGGACAGTCGAGCCCAACCACGGTGGGATTTGGCTAAGACATTTTAAACTGGCTTCAGACAGAATTCACCAATGCTGTGTATTTGTAATACTGGGCGACACTTGCAGGGAACTTCTGGGCTCACAGCTATAGAAACACCTTGGGGAGAGGGGTCCTCATCAGCACACCTGCCCACACAGTTGGTCAGGCACCAGAGGACAAGGGCCAGGCTGGTCAAGGGTGCCAGCAGGGTCTTCCAGGGTGGGATCTGAAACTACTCTCTGCAGGCGCTGGGCCGCTCTGAGTCAGTGACGAAGCCAGCGGTTTAGAAATGACACCACAGGGTGAACTTTATTGAAAGCTCATGAGGCGTTCACAATGATCACATGATCCCGACAGCTCCCGTGTCACCCTCCACGGGACAGTGCACTGTGTGGTGAGTTTCAGCCTTGCTTCGCATGCTGCTACACGTCACTAGCTGCGTTGTGCTCGCTGGGTTTGTAATAATGAAAGCAAAATCACTCTACGGGACAGACTTAATTCTGGAAAGCCCTTATGCCAATCAGACTTCGTCTCATTTATAAACACCACGGCCACACACATGCGGAAATGGAGAGCAAAATGCAAAAGAACCCAACCTTGGTGAGAACCGCTCCCAGATGCTCATCACGGAGCGCCTGGACAAGCAAGCGGAGTCGTCTCCTCGGCAGACACTCCACTCCTCGGCGGTCCCTGTGGTAATGCTGCACAGCGCTCAGTGTGGGTCACACCCCACACGACTGTCACCAAGGCCATTCTCCCTTAGGGGCAAAGACTACAGACTGCAGCTTTTCCTTTTCCCATATAATACACAGTATTTCTAGACAGTCTTAAAACAAAGGAAGTATAAATAGACGTCAGTCTGTTGTACAGTACACATACTATGGCAGACATTTCATGAAGTGGGGAGGAAGCGGCGCAGCGCCTAGTCTAGGTCCATGTTGACAGGGCCCTTTTCGTTAGGATGGCATTCACCGTTCTGATGCGGAGCTTCAGCACCAAAATTATCTTTGCCTTCTAAATCTTCTTTCTTATCAAGATTTGGGCCATTTGGAGTTCTCTCCAGTTTAGGGGATTCAATTTTTGGTTTGGGTTGCGTTACAACAGGCTCACAAACATTGTTCAATTCCTAAGAAGACAAAATTAGTCATTATGTAAACGCTGATCCACCCAGTTCATTCATCTACTTCCTCATACTTCTGATCGAGTATGTTCTGACTCAATTCCATTCTCTCAGACTATCTCTACAAACCGTAGTGACAACCCCAATCAAAGTGACTACCTCTCAGGGTTTCTTGGGGACTTGCTAGATGACTATGGATGCTACCTTATTGCTGCAACGTAAAATGCAGGAATTATGAATGAACGCCACAATACGGACAGGACAATGACTTGAGGTTAAGTCACTTCAAGATGAGGTTTATAGGTCAAACTTAAAAGCGGCCAAAAAGGCCCACTCTCCCTGGTCTTCCTCTCGTGTGTTACCCAGACAAGCACTTCCTTTTCTTCTCAGGACTCTGGCACAGCTGCGCTCCCCAGCATCCTGACAAACTCCACCCCTTTCCTTTCCCCACCTGACGACAACACCAGCACCTGACTGTTGCTGGTCGCCTTCCCACAGGGGCAGGACTGGCTGTGCAGCACTCAATGTCTGTTTCCGACAGACAGACAGACAGACAGACAGACAGACAGACAGACAGACAGCAACTGCTGGCACACTGCAGCCGACCAGGATGAATGTTTGCAAAGGCAATAATGAACCAGGGAAGCCAGTGCTGGTACAGGGGAGGTCAAAGATTTAGAGGGAAAATGCCACGTGTCAGGCTGAATGACAGAGTCCAGTCAAAAGCTGACACACTCACCTTGACCTTCGCCCTTATTTCCTGAGTGCGCACAACAGGGTCCTGGTCCAGACTCCTTTTAGCCTGAGCATTCATAACATTGTTCATCCACTCCATCACCTCATTAACAGACTTCTCAACCTTCTTCATTTCAGATTCATCAATGTGGTTGTATTTCTCATCCTGGACAGAAAATACACAGACACTATAGAGTACTGAACGGACACATCTACTCGGACCCACTTTCCCCAAGTTCAAATCCACCCTGATCCAAAACACCAACACCCCTCACTGACAACATTTATTAGGATAGATTCTGAGGCCAGGTGCTGGTGAAGTCAAGTCGGTCCTGGGGAGAGCCCAGCGCCCACCTTGCCTCTGAAGTCCGCTGCAATCTTGGCATAGTGCTGCAGCCGCTGGCCCAGCTCCTCCAGCGCTTTCGGGCGCTCCTCGGCTTCTTGAAATCGGACTTTAACAGGAGTGCCCATTTTCTAAAATGGAACACCGAGTTAACAGTTGCCAAATCTACCTCCAATAACCGTCTACAGCTTAAAACGCAAGTTGCCCCTTTCAGGGGAGGAAGAGCTTACCATCAGCTCTTCCAACTTGTCGATATACGCTTGCTTAGCTTGGTCCTCTCCTTCCTCATACAGCCAGTCTTCTGTCTCTGTGAGAAGCCTCAGGAACTTTTCATGTTCCTTTACAGGAAAGTCAAAGGTTAGTGGCAGCTCACCCCAGAGGTTCTCATCACCCCAGAGGTTCTTATCACCCCAGAGGTTCTCATCACCCCAGAGGTTCTCATCACCCCAGAGGTTCTCATCACCCCAGAGGTTCTCATCACCCCAGAGGTTCTCATCAC